ACTCAGATTAGGATTAATAATAAATGCAAAATAAACAGACTGGACCAGAGTGTCAAAGGAAAAGCAAAAGAAGGAGAAGCACTTTCATATCCACTCTGATACCGGAGACAAAACAATGACTTACCCAGTAGCTGCAAAGCACTGTGAATGAGAGAGATAAAAACCAGCAACATGGAGAGAGTCATCACAAATGTTTAACTCCTTTCCACCAAGAGATGCGTTGTAATTTGTTGCTGTCAATAAAATCCTTCTCAAACAAGCTAGGTGGCAGGTCTTCCTCAGTTTCAAAAGGCTGACAGATCAGGGGAAAGCTCTCGGCTGTAAATAAGGAAATATCCTGTCACATGTGGCTTTTTAAAATAACTCAAATTCACAGTGTAAACTTCGCTCCTAAGAACAAAGTTTCCTTCCATAGAAATGCAGGCAGTAAAGTAGTGACAGATCAATACTGTTTTTCTGGATTTACGTTAGTTTAACAGATAAATCAGTTGTTGGACTGTCAGGTCAATCAACTCTCTAGTGAAGGTATCAGGGAGCAAACAGAATAAAAGAGCAAAGCTGTTCCCTTTCCTTCAAAAATGAACTTTAACTCTCAAAAACATACTTAGAAAGCCAGCAGTGGAGCAGAGAATAGAAAACAGGTCTTCTGACTCCCAGGCCTTGTCGTTGCTTTAAAAATATATCTATTTTACCTCAAGGAAACTAATGTACACGAGCTATCCTGAGATTAAAAAAAAAAACAGTGAAGACAAGGCACTTTAGTTGTATCATGAAGTAAACTAGGCCGGGTCAGCACGATATATCTGCCTGGGGTTGACCTTGCATAGTTTACCTCACAGCAAAACAAATATGCCTATTCTTCCCTGTGTTTTTACCTCAGGATAGCTCGTGTACATTAGTTTCTTTGAGTTAAAAAATACACCTTTTTTAGCAGAGAAGGCAAGTTGTCAGGGCTGTGCCATCATGTACCCTATCCCCTGGACCAAGCTGCCATTGAAGCATTAGGAATTTAAAATATTGTAGACAAAAATCCTGAATGTCAAAACATTTGGAAATAGCTAAGGTTCTAACACTAACATTACAGCTGGCCTTTATCTTAGTTTATTCTCCATTTGCCAGAGAAAGCCTCCTTCTGAAAAAGAGACTAAGGCTACTAGGTACTTTTGAAAGTTTCACCCCATGTGCTGTCTTGCGTCACCACAAACTCCATAAAGCTGACTTTCTACCACCTGACCTGCTACCTGGTTTACATTGTGTAAGCCAAGAGTAAACTTACACAGTATGTTTAACATTTCTTCCAGCATGAAATGAGGAAGACAGGGGTGGGGAAGATGAAGAGGGGAAATAGCATGCATGATTTTATATTTTTTTGTGAGTTAGTTCTCACAATTACGGATTGCACTATTTGAAAAATATGATTTAAAAGACAAAAGGCATTCAGTAGCTAAAGAGTGAAGGCATCACATCTATCAATGAGGACACACTTCTGTGAAGGGAAAGTTGTATTGGAACCTGGCAATCAATGGTGACACACCTAATCAGGACATTATGGATCTGTATATATGCTAGAAGAGTTGTGACTCAACAATTAATCTACATAGTTATTCTTCCTCATATACCAGGTAGGCTGAGAGAAGCGGCAACTTGAATTAAAGGTGGGTAGGTAGCTGTGTGCTTATGTGCTCATAAAATCCAAAATCAGATTTACCAATGCAGCAATAATGAAATGGAGAGGTCCAAATGCAAGAATTAGAAAATAGAGCTGGTTGGAGAAACTTTGAACCATATTCCATCAACATTTAAATGCTTTGAGAAATCAGGTCAACTTAGCTGGAATTCTGTTTCAGAAGAATGTCCCATTATAACATTTTCATAATGAAACATTTCAATTATTTCAAAATGACTTCATTTAAAATCGTTTCTGTTTTGTATGATACATTATGAATATATCTTATAATACAAAATAATAAACAAAAGTATGAATCAAAATGAAATGTTTCAGTTGACCTGACTACTTTGCAGAGAATTTCACAATGTGGTGTTGGGGGGAGGGAGGGGTGGGTCCAGTTTAGAAAAAAGCCAGTTTTTGAAATCTCAAAATTCTTTGCAAAATGGACCTTCCATCCTCCACACAGTTCTATTAGACAAGCTGTCTGCTATAACAGCTCAACATAAACTCAAGAGGGAAGGAAAATCCTTAAGGAGCTCTGAATAATGGGAGGCATTGGATAAGCTGCTGAATTCTAAAGAAATGCTGATAAACAAAATAGCTATGGAGTGTAAGGTTTTGCCTGTTTCCTGTCTGACTACCAAGGAGTTCATCCAGGCCAGCTTCAGACTGTTTCACTACCCCTTTTTTTACAACAGCAGGAGAGCTAGGCAGGAAGTTGCCTCCGCACTGTCACAAACTAAGAGGACTATCATATGGCTTAAGAGAGAGAACAGCAATAGACTTACTTATTTCAGCCACAAACAGTCCTGATTTCTTAAAGGGACCACTTTCAAATTAAATTCTCAGAAAAAGCATTCTTCACTCAAAGAATAAGTGGTGTAACATACACTGGGGGTAGGCTGGGAGGGGGGGTGAGATACACTATGTTATTGATACTCAACAAATAACTTGAATTCCCACATTAAGGGCAAATGAACTTTAACCATGAAGTCAACCTGGTTAAAATATTTTGAATTACAATTTATTTTGAAAAAAGAACAGGAGTACTTGTGGCACCTTAGAGACTAACAAGTTTATTTGAGCATAAGCTTTCATGGGCTAAAATCCACTTCATCGGATGAATGCAGTGGAAAAGACAGTAGGAAGATATACATATGCACATACACAGAGAATATGAAACAATGGGTGTTACCATACACATTATAACGAGAGTGATCAGTTAAGGTGAGCTATTACCAGCAGGAGAGAAAAAAAACTTTTTGTAGTGGTAATCAAAATGGCTCATTTCCAGCAGTTGACAAGAAGGTGTGAGGAACCGTAGGGGGGAAAAATAAACATGGAGAAATAGTTTTACTTTGTGTAATGACCCATCCACTCCCAGTCTTTATTCAAGCCTAATTTAATGGTGTCCAATTTGCAAATTAATTCCAGTTCAGCAGTCTCTTGTTAGAGTCTGTTTTTGAAGTTTTGTTGTTGTAATATTACGACTTTTAGGTTTGTAATCGAGTGACCAGGGAGGTTGAAGTGTTCTCCAACTGGTTTTTGAATGTTATAATTCTTGACGTCTGATTTGTGTCCATTTATTCTTTTACGTAGAGACTGTCCGGTTTGGCTAATGTACATGGCAGAGAGGCATTGCTGGCACACAATGGCATATATCACATTGGTAGATGTGCAGGTGAACGAGCCTCTGATAGTGTAGCTGATGTGATTAGGTCCTATGATGGTGTCCCCTGAATAGATATGTGGACAGAGTTGGCAACAGGCTTTGTTGCAAGGATAGGTTCCTGGGTTAGTGTTTTTGTTGTGTGGTTGCTGGTGAGTATTTGCTAATTTGTTTTTCTAAAAATTTTTAAAATGTTCATGAAATTTTCAACCAATTCCATTATGAAGTCAGTTCTTGCAAGATGCGCTGCAAGGGAAAGCATAATTTCATCTGAGATCAAAAAGCACTTTGTAGACCTCTGGGTATGAAATGAAGCTATGTCCACCTCAGAATTGGCTTATAGGTACATGACTATGACAAAAGGAATGGGTTTGAGGCCAGAAACCAAGGAGTAATGAGGGTCCCTCCTACTCTAAGTCTTACAGAGATGGCTCATGTTATGAACTTTATGATGTGAACTTCTAATATTTGTTTTCTATTGTCTATTGGAAGCAATTTTATCATTATTGATAAAATGAGCGACAGGGGATGGATCACTTGATGATTACCTGTTCTGTTAATTCCCTCTGGGGAACCTGTCATTGGCCACGGTCAGAAGACAGGATACTTGGCTAGCTGGACCTTTGGTCTGACCCAGTGGGGCCATTCTTATGTTCTTATTGGTTTTGATAGGAAACAGATGGTGCAGTATTTCTAGCTCCTGTTTCCACTAGTTTTGCTAACCGCTCTCTGTATTATAAACTTACATAAGAACTTAAAAGTGCTGCTTCCTTTTTCTCTATTTCTTATGTAAGTTACTGTTTCTTCATTACGGGACATTAAACTACTTGTGTGTTTTTGAGCACCTTTGTCTTTGTTTTGTTTGTGTATCTGGATCAAAACTTCACTAGACAAACCTCCTTTAAACAAGAGGAAGGGGATTCAAACCGTGGTGACATGAGGATCTGGCCTTTGACTTTGCCTGCCATAGAAAACCCAGATTAAAAATCATGTTCTTTTTCACCTCTAAAACATAACTGCCCATTTTTGAAATGTAGAAACCTGTCTTTACCTATTTAGTATGAGGGTTATCTTAGGTACCTACCATCATGTCACCCAGGTGCCACCACAAAATAAAATAAAACACATCCTTTCACCCGGTCCTTAAAGAGACAGAAACTGACTCTCCCCTAAGCCCCCTCCCCAGCCATCAAACAATGAAGGACCCTAAGTAAAATGTCATTATTTGGAAAAAGCCAAATAAAGGAGTATCGTGAACCATATTTTAAAAGTAGCCAGACATTGGGTCAGAGGGATTGCAGAGGAAAGGAGTTCCAGAGCAGGGGCTCTGCTTTGAGGAGGGTTCGGTTTTGCAGGTTTTTCTCCTCAGAACACTTGATTTCCTGGCTCTCTCTTGTTCCTTGGACACAGGTCTTTCTGCAATCTGGCACAGATGTCCTAAGATTTACAGAAAGGTAAGAGAATCCAGTATGGCTGTCAGGTGGAATGCTACCAAGAAATGTTGGTATGTCATATGGTCCAGAGCATCTCAATTCAAGCATTGTTACAGTTTCCAAAGAAAGTCATGGAGGGCGTGATAATGAAATGCACAACCCATGTCAAACTGAAATAAAAATGGGCACAGACAGCTTTATTTTGCATCTGCCTACTATTTATTTCTCTTTTTAGACAGGCATGTTGTACATACTTTATTGTTCCCCCATGGTCTTAGCCAATCCATCTCACAAGTAAATGCTTCACTTGATCAGCATCTCTGCATGCTAAGCTCATCATTGCTTATCTAAGTAACAGATCCTTTTGTTTACATATTTAATGTTGTTAATTTGAAGCTGATATAAAAACATTCATAGTCATAGAATCTTATAAAAATGCAAGCCTGTAGCAAAATAAACAGCCTTATTTATTTTACAAAACTTCAAACTGAAGGTATGAATGAGGGGAAACCATTTACATTTGACTTTCATCTATTCACATATTGTGAGAAAAATATTTTAATCCACACATGATTAGCTTACAGAAATCGTATTACAAAGTCACAAGCTAAGATTATAATACTGAACTAATAAAGTGGGTAAAACAATTTGTGTAAAAGTAAGATTATTGTAATCTATTTTGTATATCTAATTTATATATATTATATAATATAATTACATATATTATATAATTATAAATTATACATATCAAAGTTATCTTGACTGAAATAACACTACAGTCTTTTAAATGTTGAACTCATGTATAGTCTAAACAGCTGGATCTCTTGAGTGATATTTATAGGATATCTGCTTTGCTGAGACAATTCTCACTATTCAGCTGTCTTGACACTCTTTATGGGTTATGGCGATGCAAGACTCTAAAACCCAAAGATGCCTGAGTGTTAATTCACACTGCTACGTGTTTCATTTTAGTTTTCTTCAGTTGTCTATTTGCAATACTTGTTAGTTAGCCACACTGTATATGTTCAAAAGTCTCCTCCTATGAAATTGTTCTAGGACATTTTCAAGATTTATAAAAGGGATAATTGCCTCGGCTAGTAGGTATACATGCAGAGCTCAAAACAGTGTACTGGGAGAATGCAAATTTGCGTAAGATTTCATTCATTCCAATTACATCATTTTTTCTCAAAATCAGACATGCAATTCAGTTATTTTATCACACTAGATGACAGTGTGTTCATTTTGATCTTTCTTGTCCACAGAATCCTTTGTGTCACTCTCTCCGGTTACAGTATCTCTGTGTTCTAATAGCACATTATTGAAGCTGGCATCTGTTTGTAATTTATTTTGTCTTTTTTTCCTGAATAAGAAATAGGCAGTGAGTCCTGCTCCTACTAGAATAAGGACCAGAATAATTAGAATCCAAACTGTGCTGTGGGCAGGTGCTTCTGAAAATAAATGAAAAATAATTACTAGAGAGACAATTGTTATGATAGATATTAGGCAGCAGACTAGAGAAAAAACATTGGCTTGAGTCTCTTCTCACTCACACTGATGTAAATCAGGAGTTAATTCCTTTTGAAGAACCCTCAAACATCCTATGACCCCTGTGCACTGTTCAGGCAGCAAAAAAAGACCAGAAAGCTAGCTCAGCCAGTCTACTGATGATTTCCCCAGCCTAGCATACTGTCTCTAGGTCAATCCCCTCCCAGCCCTGAGCATGGAGAAAATGGCTGAGATAAAGAGGAAACAGTCAGGGTGCCAATGCACTTCAGCTATCCTGAGATGCCACAACAGCCTCATGGGGTCATAGGTAGCTCTAAGTCATGCTGGGGATGAACTTAAAGTCACCTTCCTTCCCCCAACCCCTTGACCCCACCTACAGTCCTATGTTGAGTGTAGCTCATAGAGTAGGGAGCATTTGGTCAAATTGCTGATTTACACCTGTGAGGCCTCCACATACGGGCATATTGGGGAGGGGAGAGGGCAGGCCGAGGGGCGGAGCACATGGAACTTTCCTTGATCCCCAGGCTGTGCCACAGTCCTTATAGGTGCCTATAGCCTAAGGGTAATCTGGGGGTCATTTAGCCCCTGGCTGGCCCAGGATCAGGGGAGCGGAAAGGCAGTATTTTATGTTTGAATATATTGTCAGTTTGCAGATATATTTTTTGACTGTAAAGAAGTGACACCATGGAAAGGAGAATATGGAAAAAGAATAACCTTACCCCTCAACGTTATTCAAAACTCACCCCCACTTAAGGAGGGAGAGAGTCCTGCCCTTAGGCATGAACGAGATATATGGATATTTTAGGACACCGACATGCATTTTATAGTAATTATGTCAGAAAACACAATAAATAACAGTTATGAACTTATGTGGATTTATCTTTGAAGTTATTTGTCAGGAAAATAGTCCTACCTTTCTTAATTATTAGATTCTCACTTGGTTGAGCTTCAATCACTTGCAAAAACAAAAACAAATAACCCCACATTTAGTCAAAATCTGCAAACATCTGCATTTTACCCTTAAAATGATATATGCGGTAAAGCACACACTGTACAAACAATTACTGCTTTAGTGATACCGCTTTATTCATTTATTGTAGATGCATTTGCTAAATGAAACTAACAAAGATGAAAAATGTGATACCCACTTTAACTTGACATTCATTGTAGCAGAACCCAAACACTTCAGTGATAAAAATTTCTTACTGTACTTGCTTCTTGATTAATAATCAAATAACATCCAAATACAGTGAGACCCTGATTCATGAAGGTACTTAAGCATGTGAGTAGTCCCATTGACTTCAATGGCATTACTCACGTGCTCACAGTGAAACATGTGCCTAATGACCTAATGTGGCCTAATCTGAACACAGATATTTGCAGTTGTCATTCTGCCAAAAAGGTTTGGGAATTACTTAAAACGTGTGATGCACCAGTCATATTATATAGCTCATTTAATGATAATCCACAAAGAATGGCCAAAAACAACGAGGAGTACTTGTGGCACCTTAGAGACTAACAAATTTATTTGGGCATAAGATGCATCTGATGAAGTGGGTTTTAGCCCACAAAAGCTTATGCCCAAATAAATCTGTTAGTCTCTAAGGTGCCACAAGGACTCCTCTTTGTTTTTGCTGATACAGACTAACATGGCTGCCACTCTGAAGGAATGGCCAGTCTCCCACCCCCACTGTTCTGACCACTTTCCCTGTTGTACCTCTCAGGCAGTGCAAAGATACTAGATCTGGCCACAGTTTCCTAGCTGAGAATTCTCCCTGTGGGAAGGCTCTGCTGATGCAAAGACTCTAGAACTGGCTCCTATACCAACTGCCCACTCAGCCCTGGCATAGGTGGCTCCCTGATGGCCCGAAATCTCTTGCACTGAAGAGATCTCAGTACGGGAGAGAATCTGGCCTAACATGTTCAAATCATGAAAAAATGCCCTAATTTTCTGTACTGTACACAGCCTATTCAAGACATAGTAGGTTTTAGTTTAACATGCTCCAGTATTTGCAGCTCATATATTCTGCATCTACAGGGTTCAGTTCTCAAACACTTGATTTGTACCAGCTCAGTTGTCTTATGCTATTTCTCTGTGCTGTACAATAAGTGTGATGTCTGCAAGGCTTTTAAAATTAATACCACTTACCAATACTTAAATGGCAACTGGATGATTATGAACTCAAGTGCAGATTTCAAATATGGGCAATGGGATTTCACTGCTATTAAAAGGCAGACTGTATCTTTCAGACACAGTCCTGAGCAGGAGGCAATACAGACCTGCACATCTCCAACGGGAGCACCCCAAAATGTCATGCTGGAGGGAGGCATAGTGCCTTCCAGTGCATACAGGAGAATAGAGGGAATGTGCCTACTATACCACCATGTGATCACAGCTATGCTCCCTTTCTGTCTCAGTTAGGGTGACCAGACACCAAATGTAAAAAATCAGGACGGGGGTGGGGAGTAATAGGAGCCTGTGTAAGAAAAAGACCCAAAAATCGGGACTGTCCCTATAAAATCGGGACATCTGGTCACACTAGTCTCAGTTGTGGCGGGGCCCTGTTTTGGGGAACAAAAAGTTAGGAAGGCTCCTTGCACGTTCACCCCACATTGTGCTTCCACATAGTGGCTGGAGATAATCAGTCCCACAAGTACTAACCAGGTGTCAGCACTGACTTAGTACTTTCCAATATATTTGGCAACAAAACGTAAGCCTTTATTGGTCTATAATGCTATGAACTCATGATCTAAGATACAGGAGAATTGTCTCAAATCAGGCACTCACTCATCTGGAAGGCCCTAATGCTACCGCTTGCATGAAAAGCTGATGTCTGGGGCAATTACACCCACTTAGGAGAAGAGACTAATAATAGGTGAACCTCACAAAATGTAGAACTTATACCAATCTGTGTAGGTTGCAAAACTGGACAGGAAATCAAGCTTTTGTATCATATTTCTAGTACTTGCTGTTTGAGTTGAGTCAGAAATACCACAAGAGTAGCATAGCTCATGATATTTTGATATATCTGCTTCCTGACAAAGGCAGATGGTGCACAGAAATAAGATAAATGCTAACCAAAACATTTTTTTTCTAGCTTTTAAAAGATTTCTATTTGAGTTCTGGATGAATATCCAGTTTAGTGATTGCTTAACCGGAATTGGCCTTCCTCCCCACCACTGGAACACAGTACACCATGTATCTTCACATGGCAAGAGGAAGAAAAGAAAATCACTTAAATGCAATTCTTGTTCTCCAAAGGCAAAAAAAAAAAAAAAAAAAAAAAAAATTAAAGGAGGTTGGAAAAGGAAAGAAAAAAATTCAGAAATGTTTAAAGAATTTTCAAATTCAGTAACATCCTGAGTTATTATTTGAACATTCTTTGGGCTGTGCTCCCAGAGTGCAACTATGTGGGAAAGTCTGAAACTGTACGAAGTACATCATGGAGGGTACCCAAATCTTGATATTACTCATGTGCCTATGCAGTAGTCACTGATACTAGGTAATAAATAAGATATCGGAACATCTACAGCAGTAGGTGGAAGGAAAGCCTGAAAGGAAAGCCAGTGAAGTTACATGCAGTTAGTTTTGGGTAAGCCATATGAGGCATACATTAAATTTGCACAAGAATTGGGGAGGGATACTCAACTGGCCCATTAAACTTTGTAAAACTTAGAATATTTTTTTAAAATCTCATATACATTTTGTTACTTGCTCTTTCTTAAGTTTTGCTTTCCCCTCCCATTTACCACCTCAGCATGTTAGAGCAAATTGTACCCTTGCATTCTAAGTATGGACAGAGTCACAGAACATGAGCTGAGGTTTTTGATATTTGAATGTGAAATGCAGAAAAACTGGCTCTTCATTATATTTACACATGATATTTGTGAGTAGGGCCTTTAATCTGTGGTATTTACCTTATGTGAATGTTCAGACATTTTTGGCTTTATGTTGTAATCACAAACAGCAAAGGAGAAATGTGGACACACTGTACTTCACACAGCACAAACATATGTATTTTGTAGTATATGTACTGTGGCATTACTACTAAAATAAAACCATCAACATCAAATCATAGGATTTAACATATCACTTACTCTTTGGTTTCTTACAAATGGACCCCTTTTGGGAAGAGCAGGGAATGGTATTCCAGTACCCAGACGATGCAGACATTTCCACACAGTACTCAAACTGGTTACTTGAAGGCTGTCCTTTATTCCAGTTGACAAAATCTACTGCAGTTTTGTCTAGCCATAGCCACAACCCTAATGACAAAATGCATTAAAAGGGTAGAGATAACTCACTATAGACAATCTTGGTTAATATGTGTCAGTCTGAATTTATATTTAATTTTCTTAGTTTCTAAAAGGAAAATTAAAAAAAAATCTTCGTGGTGCTTATTTCATGACATGCGAATAGATTTTTACTTCCCTTTATTCTTTTCCAAAGGAAATACTGCCTTTATCTTTGCAAATTATGATTCTTAGATATGGAGAATTACATTTTCCTAGTTTTCCATGATATATGCCCATATTTCTCAGGTATATGGGACAAAAGTTTCAAACTTGGGGATTAGGCACCTAAATCCACAAAGTCAGGCAACTTTTATTTAAGTACCTAAAGTCATATGTCGGTAACTCCCACTGAAAAGAAAGCTGATTTTGCTGAAGTGCTTAAATATAGACACTTACATACTTCACTTTGGGTACCCTGGTTTGAAAATTTTCATCATAGTTTCTCAAAGATCTTAAAGATACTGGAAGTATTTGGTGGGAGGGGAGAGAAAACCTTCTGATTACATTAGACTGAGGCTAATTTTGCTCCTTTCCATTCCAGCGTTCTCTTTCTTTGTTCTCCAAAAATCCTGTTTTCCTGGTAACCGTAAATCTAATTCTTTCCTTATAGCTTATGACCAGTACTGATTAACTAGTCAGCAGCTGCGGAAAGAAGACATCCTCTAGCCAGGTTCACATTGTTTTCTGAACTTAGGCACCGGTCAGGACAGCAAGAAAAAAGACTCTATGGGACCAAATTTGGCCCTGGCTCTGCTCCTTGCACACGAGTCAAGTGAGGTGTAAAGGAGCTACAAGAGGATGGGGAGAATTTCCCTGGCACAGGAGCAGTGTAGGGCGATGCAAGATGTGATATGCTGCCCCCTTGCAGGCCAGCAGTAGGGGCCATGGTGGAGGTAGTGATGGGAGAATAAGGAGATATTCAAAGGGATGGGAGAGGGCATGCCACAGCACTTGGTGCTATGTGAATTCTGGACTGCAGTACAGTCCATAGGCATCTGCGAGAGACCTCTATGGACAGCTCTCATTTTGGCCCCCATAACAGCCAAGAATATGGGCAGTGCAAAGGCACCTTTGTCCCCTCTTCCCGTGAACTGCACCTACTGTGTTGTGCATCTAAGGAGGTGTATGAGAATCTATCCTGTTACGCTGTTCCGACACTTATTACAAAACGTAGCTAATAAGCATAAGGCCATTGAATTCCTTAGGTCTCCATGCAGGCATAAGGGTCCACCCATTTTGATCTTATTACATGCTTGGGCCCTAAAACTGAAACCAAACCGAAGAGTCAGAAATCTCTCTCTTTTACAATATTTCACAGGACATACTTTTGCTAGATGAAACCAACACCTCCAAGTAAGATTTTCAGATTAAGATACCATAGGTCTAATTTGTTTTTTGTAACTGCTTAGTAATCTTTCCAGATGAATTTCTATTTTCTATTCATTACAGCCTAAATTATGACATATTTTAATCAGCTTTCAGTCTATTGAATACAGAATATGTATGATTAAATATCAAAACTAAAATAATTACCATCAACGTTTCTATATATTCCTGTCCAAAACCCACTTGTCTCTCCTTTATGTGGCTCTATAATGTCTGCTAGAAATTTGGATTCAGCTAAATCTTCTATTGAAACCAAAGTAGCACCTGCAAAACATTAGGAAACATATAAGTTGTATCCTGCCATAGAAACCAGTCTCAGGTTATGGCTTTTGATACAGTACAAGGTTCTGTAATACATAAATGCCCCTGCAGTTAATAGGGTGTACACGGATGTATGAATAAAGGATACAGAGGGTGGTAAGGATGTAGGGGAGGGCACAGTCTGGATCCTAAGTGATGTAATCGAAAATAAAGACATGGATTTCACTGCAAACATAATTTGAAAACTTTAGGTTACATCACACAGAGTATTATTTTGAGGCTATTGGGGAAGCATATTTTTACAGACAATATATACCGATGGTTGTCATTCTTGTTTGGCAAGTGAGCCAAAATAGTGTCATGGAACCAGAGGTGAAAGTAAGCTGGTCCGGTCCGGTATGGCATACCAGCAAGAGCCAGTACGCCGTGCTGGACCAGACTGGCTTCCCCAGGCTGGCGATTTAAAGGGCCCAGGGCTCCCCGCAGCAGCCGGAGCCCCGGGCCCTTTACAGCGCCGCTGGAGCCCTGCCGCAGCTACCCTGGGGCTCCGGCAGCGGGGCTCGGGCGGCACTTTAAAGGGCCAGGGGCTCCGCTGCGGTAGCGGCGGCCGGAGCCCCGGGCCCTTTAAATCGCCCTTGAGCCCCGGGGCTCTCAGCTGCCTCTGCAGCTGGTAGCTCCGGGTGTGATTTAAAGGTCCCGGGGCTCCCAGCCACAGCCGGAGCCCTGGGGCCTTTAAATCTTGATTTAAAGGGCCTGGGTATTTAAAGGCCCAGCCTCTTCCAGTTGAGGCCACGCCTTTTCCAGATGAGGCCACACCCCCTGCAGCAAATGGTTATGGGATTTGGTTTGTGGGGAATTTTGTGGGCTAGAGATCCAAAAGTGTTGGGGTGAAGAGGGCCTTGATGGGGGTTAGGAATGAAGGGGCTCATTCCCCCAGGCTGGGGTAACTTCTCCCTCCTTACCCTAGTCTGTGCAGCATGCAGCTCTGGATGTTGGGAAGCTCAGCAGATGGTCCCACCACCCCTTGAAGCATCACTTTCCCTTTCCCTACCCTGGAATGGAGTGGTGTGGAGGTTGAGGAGCTGCTCTTGGATTGGTTGGCAGGTGAGAGATGAAGGAGCATGGCACAGGCAACAGCATTAGGAAGAAGAAAGGAGAGAGCTACTTCTTTCTTCCCCTCCCTAGATTACTGGTGGGTCCTACTGATGAGGGATTTTGCAGCTTTCAGGCAATGGGTGCAACCCACTTTTGGACCATGCCCCACCTGTTGATAGATACTATGATATAACCACAGTTTGGGAATTTTTGTGTGTGTGCTCCTGTTTCTAAATTTATAAGGACACTCTGAAATGGTTTCGGACAAAAATTGAGGTTTTCAATTTATGATTAAAGAACATAAAAACATAAGAATGGCCATACTGGGTCAGACCAAAGGTCCATCCACTCCAGTATCCTGTATACCGACAGTGGCCAATGCCAGGTGCCCCAGAGGGAGTGAACCTAACAGGTAATGATCAAGTGATCTCTCTCCTGCTATCCATCACCACCCTCTGACAAACAGAGGTTAGGGTCACCATTCCTTACCCATCCTGGCTAATAGCCATTAATGGACTTAACCTCCATGAATTTATCTAGTTCTCTTTTAAACCCTGTTACCCTGTTATGATCCTAGTCTTCACAACCTCCTCAGGCAAGGAGTTCCACAGGTTGACTGTGCGCTTTGTGTTTTAAACCTGCTGCCCGTTAATTTCATTTGGTGGCCCCTAGTTCTTATATTATGGGAACAAGTAAATAACTTTTCCTTATTCACTTTCTCCACACCATTCATGATTTTATATATCTCTATCATATCCCCCCTTGGTCTCCTCTTTTCCAAGCTGAAAAGTCCTAGCCTCTTTAATCTCTCCTCATATGGGACCGGTTCCAACCCCCTAATCATTTTAGTTGCCCTTCTCTGAACTTTTTCTAATGCCAGTATATCTTTTTTGAGATGAGGAGACCACATCTGTACGCAGAATTTAAGATGTGGGCATACCATGGATTTATATAAGGGCAATAAGGTATTCTCCGCCTTATTCTCGATCCCTTTTTTAATGATTCCTAACATCTTGTTTGCTTTTTTGACTGCCGCTGCACATTGCGTGGACGTCTTCAAAGAACTATCCATGATGACCCCAAGATCGCTTTCCCGATTAGCTGTAGCTAAATTAGCCGCCATCATATTGTATGTATAGTTGGGGTTATTTTTTCCAATGTGCATTACTTTACATTTATCCACATTAAATTTCATTTGCCATTTTATTGCCCAATCACTTAGTTTTGTGAGATCATTTTGAAGTTCTTCACAGTCTGCTTTGGTCTTAAATATCTTGAGCAGTTTAATATTGTCTGCAAACTTTGCCACCTCACTGTTTACCCCTTTCTCCAGATTATCTATAAATAAGTTGAATAGGATTGGTCCTAGGCCTGACCCTTGGGGAACACCACTAGTTACCCCTGTCCATTCTGAAAATTTACCATTTATTCCTACCCTTTGTTCCCTGTCTTTTAACCAGTTCTCAATCCATGAAAGAATCTTCCCTTTTATCCCATGACAACTTAATTTACGTAAGAGCCTTTGGTGAGGGACCTTGTCAAAGGCTTTCTGGAAATCTAAGTACACTATGTCCACTGGATCCTCCTTGTCCACATGTTTGTTGACCCCTTCAAAGAACTCTAATAGATTAGTAAGACATAATTTACCTTTACAGAAATCATGTTGACTTTTGCCCAACAATTTATGTTCTTCTATGTGTCCGACAATTTTATTCTTTACTATTGTTTCAGCTAATTTGCCCGGTACTGACGTTAGACTTACCAGTCTGTAATTGCCGGGATCACCTCTAGAGCCCTTTTTAAATATTGGCGTTACATTAGCTATCTTCCAGTCATTGGGTACAGAAGCTGATTTAAAAGACAGGTTACAAACCATAGTTAATAGTTCTGCAATTTCACATTTGAGTTCTTTCAGAACTCTTGGATGAATGCCATCTGGTCCTGGTGACTTGTTGCTGTTAAGTTTATCAATTAATTACAAAACTTCCTCTAGTGACACTTCAATCTGTGACAATTCCTCAGATTTGTCACCTACAAAGGACGGCTCAGGGTTGGAAATCTTCCTAACATCCTCAGCCATGAAGACTGAGGCAAAGAATTCATTTAGTTTCTCTGCAATGACTTTATTGTCTTTAAGTGCACCTTTTGTATCTCGATCATCCAGGGGCCCCACTGGTTGTTTAGCAGGTTTCCTGCTTCTGATGTACACCTCTACACCGATATAATGCTGTCCTCGGGAGCCAATAAATCTTACCGTGTTATAGGTGAAACCGCATTATATTGAACTTGCTTTGATCTGCCGGAGTGCGCAGCTCCCCCCCCCCCCCCCCCCCCCCCCCCCCCCC